GTTTTCCACTAGTAACCAAAGACTTGGAAAACTAGATGTGATACTAATTGGACTAAATAGTTCCATTAAATTTATGCTGTTGCATTATTTGGGGGCAAGAAAATCAAAAAATAATAATAAAAAGTGTCAAATCTATGCTAATAATATTAAAAAGGTAAAAAATTCGTCAAACAAAACCAAACAGTTAAATAATAACCTTTTAAAATTTTGACAAACTGCTGTAACGACTAATTCCAATAATTGCTGATCTGGTTAGATCCTTAATTAGAAAAAATGTGAAAGTAAATTGAATTACACAAAAATTTAAATATTTTAAGCAGTTGTTTTCTTTGTACTGTGTAGACCTCTGAATATAAAATATTTGTTGAAGATTTACACTCTTGTTTGTCGGCTTGGTTGTTATCTAACATCGACAAGAGAGGTGAAAAACACATTGAACGATGAATAATTGTAAATTCTTAAATCAAGTTGTAAATAAATTCTTATTAAATTTTTACTAATCGTTGATATTGATGGATAAGTATTGATTATTGGACATTCAAACTTTGTTTAGACAAATAACAAGTGGCCTCTCGAGTCTCTCAATGACCTTAATTAGCACATATCTTATTTAATAAAACAACAAATAATCAATGTACTAAGTACTTAAAAAGGGTTATTATCCATTAGATTATTAAGTATAACAAAATGTTTAATAAGTTGATCTCTGTTCATATAATTTATGTTTAGAAGAAATAGAAAACAAAGAGAATAAGGGTGTTTGGTAAGAACGAAAAATATTTTCTAATTTTCTCATATTAGTTGGCTTAAATCTTTCCCTGGCAAAAGGCGGGAAATTATTTCAAAATTCTTTTTCAACCTTCCACACCCTTCGTCCTCAACCCCTACCCTCACCCCACCCCCACCCCACCCTAACCCCACACCCCTACCCTCCCACCTACACAAACACGTACTCCTACCCCTACCCCCTGCCACCCCCACCCCTAACATTGTCACCGCCACTTTGGCCCCTAGACTCCGACCTACCACCCTCCCCTGCACTTACCCATTTCGTCTCATATAGTGTTCGCCTAAATTATGTATTTCTCAGATATATTTTCTGCTATCTAACCAAAAAAAAAAAAAAAGTAACAAAGCTACTTATTTTACATGAAAATATTTTCCTTTAGACCAAACACACCTTAAGAGATCAATTTCGCCCTAAACTTGGATTTATAGCTCATTGATAAATCACTTTGTTTAACCATAGGAAATCAACCTTATAACTCGATCAAACAAATGATAAGTCTGACATTTAGACGAACATCAAAATAGAGATATTTAGCTTGATTATTTCAAGGAAATCTTTAACAATAGTATCCACAAAGACAAACAGGAGTAGGAGGATCATCTGGATTCTGTATACAACTCGCACCAAGAAATTTATCTTTATATTCCTCCGTACAGCTCGGAGTACAATCATCGTTCACTTTGCATGTTATGTTGTAAATTGCAGCGGCGCATTGCAAATCATTAACTTGATGATCTTGGGCAATCGTCAGCTCGAGAACGTACAAATACGTGACGATAAAGAGGAGGCAGTAGTAAACTGAAATTTTTGCCATTTATACTTTGATTTTGCTTGTGTTTTTGAGAGAATGTACGCTATGAATTGCGGGGCTATGGTTACAATATATACGTAGGAGTGAATGATTGTTATTATCCAGTGAAAATTAGTCAAAGATTATGTAATCCAGTGGATATTGCATTATTTTAGGATATAAGGTTTTCAACAAACTTCTATTTATGTGATAGTACTACAAATAATTAAAGGTGATAATTCTGGAAATAGGACTAGTGGCGGAGTCAAGATTTTCTCTACGGAGCGGAAGTCGCAATATAAAGAAGTAAGATTATGAAAAATCAAGGAATTCAATATAACATATATATGTAAAAAAAAAAAAAAAAAAAAAGAAGAAGTCACCTAAATATACAATTTTATGGCGAATGGGTGTCAATTGACGCCATTTGGACAAAGGTGTCTCCGCCATCGAATAGAATATGAGTAAAAGGTTCAGACTAATTAACTGTCGTATTTTTCATGCAAATTAGTTCTATTTATTATCGTCAGTTATTTGAATTTATCTTTTAAGTGATGCAGTAATTTTATTTTTTTGCGTTATTAGTGAATGGAGTTAAAATCATTGTTTAATGAAACCCAAGGAAGAATTACTAGATGTAGATGGACCTTGCTCTATCCTATCCTATGCTCACCTAATTAAGTCTAATCCTAACCCTAATCACGGGCCTAATTACCCTACGGCAAATCTAAAGCATAGGTTTTATGAATCACCTTAAAGAAATATTAATTAGTTTTAAGAGGGATCAATTAGTTTGTGGAAGCTTTACTTAAAATATTCCAACCACACTTGGATTAAAAAGAATTAATTAACTTCCTCCTTTCCCTTGTGGGAGTTGATTTATTTCAAGTCTGACGACTCTTATTGGCCAATATTTTCCGTTAATCATGATTAATTGTCTGGTCGACCATTTGGGAGCTAAGTAGCTAAAGCTTATAGACCATAGATTCTTTCTTTCTGTTTTTATTTAGTGTTCGGTATCCACTTTTAGGTTCTTACCAATTTGAATTTACATCGTGCAATATTAATTAAAGGGAAAAACACTCATTATCAGGATTTTTTTAATTCCAAAACCAGAATTCGAGATCACTAATTAAGGATGACATTATCTTATTCATCCCACCAAAATCCTTGATTGTCACCATAAATTTATACTTGCAAATAAAGGTGTTTATTTAAACGCATAGTAAAAGAGTTTATTTAACTTTTCTTTTTCTATGTTGAACTTAGATATATCGGAGCCTCCATTCATTTGGCTCCCTATCCTTTTTCACCCAAAGAATCCCTGATCCAACAACCATACATAACTGCTTGAGTACACGTTCAAAGAAAAGTTTAAATATAATTAAGAAAGCTCAATCATTGTTCCAACAAACACCAAAGATTTAAAAAATCGAAAGAGAAGAACTAATCACAATAGTTGAATGAAAGCGGTTCTAATTTTTTTATCGAGGGGTATCAAAATATAAATAAGTAATTACACGGGAAAGCCAAGAGGTTTCAACATATAGTGTTGAAGTGTGTGACCATTCCATCTAATTAAAGCTTAAGCTGTTAGAGAGAGCACACTTTATTTACTTAATAGTCTCTTCAACACGCCCCTCTCGTGTAGACTTATTTCATTTCTTCATTGGCCAATCATGTAGAAATTTATTTTTCATAATGATAGCGGTGAGACTTGAACCTAGGACCTCGCCGTGCTCCGATACCATGTTGAAGTGTGTGATCATCTTATCTAAAAGCTTAAGCTATTAGAGAGTTCACACTTTATTTATTTAATTGTCTCTTACGCCTGCTCATGTGTAGACTTCATTTTTTTTAATTGGTCAAGCACGTAAATTTTTTTTTTTTTTTAATAATAGTGAAAAAATTCCAACATGGAGAAATTAATTATTGTGTTTGCATGTGCATGCAGACGCAAGCATTTCCTCGTGAAGACATAATACTACTTATTTGTCAAATTCTAATTGTTTAGTAAAAGTTGGCAATTAAAAGATAAACATAATATATTTTTCTGTATCAAAGACCAAGCAATGGAGTTTCCCAAAAACACGTCAACACGTTATCATTTCTCTAAATTGGGCAATCCATGCAAGATTCATGACTACTGAACGAGTCTGAAGTTAACAAACTTGCACGATGCTGACAGTTACTTTGCACATTTATATGCGTTCATGGGCACCTTGCTCTGGAAGTTAATTTTATTTTCGCCTAAAGGCGGATTCAGGATTTACACTTTATGGCTAAGGGTTCGGGATCCTAATGCGGTTCATATGATTTACTAGGTTCGAAATATTGTATATGTATTTATTTGGTTTTCTTTTTTAAATCGTGGTGTCCGAGTCAGCTTACGCGCATCTCGACTAATTTCACAGATACCAGCTATCACTCACCAGCAACAGATACGTCCACCAAGGCTTGGATAGATGAAAATAGTAATCAGTAATTTGGTAATCTTTTTAACACATATGTAAGGTCTAAACCAAAGCTACTTTTTCCAATGAAACTCCGTAATATTAACACTACTACATCCGCCCCTATTTCCAATCACACATATATGTATACTCCCTCTATTTTACTTTATGTGAAAGGCATGTGTTTGATTGCGTACAAAGTTTAAGAAAGAAAGAAATTTTCAAAATTTATGATTGTAATTAATCATGCATGTCATGATATTTTATGACTATAAAATCATGTCATTAAGGTTAAAATGAGAAGTTAAATTGCTTTCCAACATATATATACAGGTATTATTCGTTTTTTAACAGAATAGAATAAAAAGAATGTCACATGAAATGGAATTAAGGAGGTACATGAAATAAGGAGCGGGGGTCCACTTTACTCTAGGCACAAATGCACAATAATAAAATAGTCGGAGATACTGGATATTATATTAGGACATCTAAAGCCGTTTGTAAATTAAAGGTTAAATATAGGTTAGTTTATCTCAACCGTCTTAAGATTTAGAGTTGGATGTTTATATGTACTTTATTAGTATGATTTTTTAAAAAAAAAAAGGCAGTTCGATACACTAAGTTCTTGTTATGTGCGGAGTTTAGGAAAATGCCGAACTATAAGGGTCTATTCTATGCAGCCTTATCTGCGTTTTTGCAAGCCCCCCATTCAACTTCATGTGTCGAGCTATAATTAATCAATAAAGAATTAACCCAAATAGCAGCTCACCTCATCTCTTAAACTAAAAATAGCCGGTGAATATATAAGATATTCATGATTCATGTATATTATGCGTATAACAATATATGATCAATATATAATCTATGTATACTGGCTAAAAAAAAATAAACAGTAAATATGGCCGGCTATTTTGTGTAACAATGCATTAATGATTTAAGTAGAATAGTCATCTTCCCACAAAGGGGATAAGAAGAAAATAAAACACTATATAGCAATTGATAACTAATTTAAACATTCTTGACTAAGATTCATATACACAGAACATTAATGACCTGAAGTCTAAGTCCCTAAAACAAAAATTAAAGAGTGCAATTATTTCCTTAATTAGATTAAATCTGCCCCTTCGGCTAATTTTGAAATCCTCTGAAAGTCTGATCAATGTCAGGAATATTGTTAGCTTGCAGCTGGACCAAAGTGGAATAATTGGAAAAGCTAGAGGAGTAATTTGGATCATCAACTCCAATAAATTTCTCTTGAAAATCAAAGTCATTTACTAAATCATAATAATAAGATGATGAAATTCCAGAGCTAAAATCCATAACATAACCATCTTCTTGATCTTGAGCTAATTGAATTGCACCATTTTCTTGAATTTCCATCAGGCTTGGAATTGGAAATAATTGATCTGATTCTGCAACTAACATTTCTGGAACTAATAAATTTGGATTAGTTAAATTTGTGTCCACTAGACTTGTGAACGTGTTAGAATCCATTGTAGAGTAATTTCTTGAAAAGGAATTTATAGAAAATTTGTGATTTAAATCACTAGAATTGTAGCTGCAGCAGCTGCTAAGATTAGTGTAATTTTCAGCTGCCAAAAGCTTTTTCTTCAATTTGGTATTCCAATGATTCTTCACATCATTATCTGTTCTTCCTTGTAGATTTGCAGCTATCACAGACCACCTAATTTTCACAAAAAATGAAGAATAAATAATAATAATAATAATAATAATAATAATAATTTGTTTCGGATTCATTAGAATTCAATGCAAGACACTTGCTTTTCGTGTACTAAAAAAGGGCAGTCCGGTGTACAAATCATTCCGTATTTATACAACGTTCGGGAAAGGGAAGAACCCTAAGGGGTGTGATGTAGATCGCCTGTCCTAATACAAATAATAGGGGTTTGCTTCACGACTCGAATCCGTGACCTATAGGTCACACGGAGACAACTTTACTATTGCTCCAACGCAAACATTAGTTGATTTAATTTCTTGTACTATATACTTGAATTTAGGATTAAAGAAATTAATGACCCTTTGACCAACCTGCTTCCAATTTGACCATAGAGTGTTAAAATAAGGTTGTCTTCTTCTTCAGTAAAACCTCCATGCTTGATGTCTGGCCTAAGGTAATTTAGCCATCTTAGCCTGCAACTCTTCCCACATCTTCTTAGGCCTAAAATTCGCAAATCAAGAATGTTATATATAAAAAAAAGGAAGAGTTTAACAACAACAAAAAAAAACAAATTTTTACGCTATCAAGCTATTTAAGAATTAACTACAAAAGCTTTCCATAATAACTAAACTAGTTATTCGAAAGGCGAAAAATAACGCGACCCCACTCAGCTTGAAGAAGTAGTTCTTTCAACTAATTCATATTTTTCCCTCTAGTTACGGAATTGAATCAGAAAGCAAGACAGAATAGGCGAGTGCTCTCGAAGAAAAAATTGTGATAAAAAAAGTGCGAGAAGAATTCTAAACTCGAGATGTTAGAAGGTGCAAAATCAATAGGTGCGGGAGCTGCTACAATTGCTTACCTGCTTTTTGAGGGAGAGCAATCCAATTGCCACCAGTGCCATTTTTCTCAAGATAATTTTTGAGAGTGTTGTCTTCTTCAGGAGACCATGGTCCTCTTTTAACTTTTGTTTTGTCACAACAAGGAGCTCTTCCCATGGCCAAATTAAACACTAATTTAAAAAACTTGTTTTTTTTTCTGTCTTAACCAGACACTTAGCTATATATATAGTTGTATTTGTTACTTCCAATTTTAAAGATGAAGAGGGGTTTCTTTTTAAAGGAGATGGAAAAGTGTGTAGTTAGCTTGACTATGTCAATATTTAAACTTTTTTAAGTTTTTTGTCTTTGAAAATTTTCATTTTTATTTATTGGATAAAAGAACTCAGTCAATGTAGGTTCATGAGATTTGAGGGGTATACTATAATGTCAACATATATATCTTCTCCTATATTTGCTATCAACTATGTGGAGCCCACAAAACTTTACTTAGGTCATGTTGAATAGTCTGCCTCTTTTACATCTACTAAATTTTACCATATCTTCAACATCTAATTTAAAAAAGGCCAAATACATATACAACCCATCCAACTTGGCACTTTTTTTTTTTTATTTTGGTACTTTATTTCTATCTTATTTTATTTTGGCCCTCTAACTCTATTTCTTATGTTTAACTTTAACACAAAAGCTGAAACCAGTGCAAAAAATATAGCGCGTGTGTATACACAAATCTGAGGTGTAATATCCAATTAAATGTTGCCACCTGGTTTTTTCATCCATGTCAAACGGGTCAATACTAAAATTCCTCAACTCAACCGTATTTTTTCATCCACTGTTGCCCCATCTTCATTCTCTAAGTTCCAAAGCTTTCATACCTGGCCCGTTTAGATGAAATGAACCCACAAAAAATACTGTCGGGTTCAGGTATTTTAGTATTGACCCATTTGACATGGATGAAAAAATCAGGTGGCAACATTTAATTGGATATTTATTACACCTTAGATTTGTGTATACACACGCGCTATATTTGTTGCACTGGTTTCAGCTTTTATGTTAAAGTGAAACATAAGAAATAGAGTTGAGGGTCAAAATGGACTAAGATAGAGATAGAGTACCAAAATAAAAAATGGTACGAAGTTGGATGGGTTGTATATGTATTTGGCCATTTAAAAAACATAAGATTCACATGTAAAAGGATCAATGTTGGCAATAGAAACTTACATGCACATTAGTGTTTGCACCATATACACATTTACCGGTTAATCATTTATTCTCCTTTTAATTTTTAACTTCTGTTGTGCTATTTGTTCTTCTATATTATTTCTTTGCCATTGTTACTGTTTGTTTCTTGTGTCCTTTTCACTGTTCTTGACCCGAGGGTCTATCGAAAATAATCTCTCATCTTTCATAAGCGTAGGGGTAAGGTCTGCGTATACATTATCCTCCGTAGACCCCACGTGTAGGATTGCACTGGATTTGTTGTTGTTGTTGTTGCTGTTAATTTTTAACTTCTAAGGTTAAATTACATTATTTGTTATAAACATTGTTGTGCATGAATTGTATTTGATTTGTATTAGATACATCAATGCCTGATACATAATTGCATCATACTTGTATTACAATTGTATCTAGCTTGTATCTGGTACATTAATACCTAAAATAATACCTGATACAATATTAATAAATTAATATACAATTATCGTACTTCTGATACAAACTGTAAAATTCGTCATGAACTCACAACTGCTCGTAAGAATATACAACGAATATACAACGAATATACAATTATCATACATTTATAATACAACTCCTGCATCAATTATGATACATATACAATTATAATACAATCGTGATACATTAAATTTTAAAATTTGTGGTACAATTATGATCTTCATCTTATTCAAGTTTCAATCACAACTCTACACTAAAAATTTAATATACTCGTATTAAAATTGTATTAGTATTGTATCGAGTATTGTTTTGGGTATTGTTGTATCATATACAAGTCTACAATAAAAATTTTAGAAAAAAAGAAAACAAGATTCAAAACTTACCCAGAACTTGATTCCATAGCAATATTTCAAATTTTGTCTGCATTGTGTCAATAAGAAATAGAGATAGCAATATTTCAAATTTTGTCTGCATTGTGTCAATAAGAAATAGAGATTTTGGGTGATTAGTAAGAAAGATAGAAATGAGTTTGAAAACCTTTGGAAAAGAAAAAGAATTGGAAATGCCGGGGGGGGGACAAAAATNTTAAGAAAGAGAGAAAAAAGGAACATAATCTTAAATGTAGGGGGAGTTATTGAAAATGGGTTGTAACTGACAAGCTAAAATTAAGGGATCTTGAATTTTTCTTTTTAATAGTTTTGTATATAACTTGTAAATATAGATATACAAAGTAATTAATAAGGAACCTAAATAATTGTGGTAAATAGGTTTTTACTATAGTATAGCTAGATAAAAATCCCAAGATAAAAAACAGATTAGCACATCTGATTTAATGGCCCAAGTTTGCTCAAAAAAAAAAAAAAGATTTAATGGCCCAAGAACTGGATTTGTCCCTCCTAAGCCTAGTAAAAGAACATATGAGTTTGGACTTTGGAGTATTGCATACCATTTTCCATTTCTTGGAATTAACCTATATAGTCGTTTGCCTGACCACTTAAATTAAAAATAGCTGATAGATATATAGTATGTGTATTATTATATATTATTTTTTTTATATCAACTAGAAAAAGTAAATAACTAATTTAGCCGATTATTTTCGTAAAGATCCCATTTTATCTTCATTATTGTAGAATGACACCAGGGAAGCCACTCTAAAGGTCTACTATTTAGAAATTAGCCAATATGTCCTGAATTTCAGTTTTTCAGTATAATTTTTCAGGACACAAATGTCCTAAATTTTTTTGGAATTAAGATTTTTAGTTTTAAATTTTAAAGACAAAATAAGTACTTGCTAATTCCTAAATAGCAGTCCTAAAACTGACTATTTGTGTACTTCACCATTGACAGTGGCCCGATATGCGACTTGGTAATCCTGATTGCTTTATTGGGCCCAAATCCAGCAGTCTATTAAGCCTAGCTGAATAATAACAGGATCTTTACACAAATAGCCGGTTATATTCACTGATTACTTTTTTTAACCATATACATAGAATATACATTGGTTATACATAATTATACACATATAACACACAAATTATGTATATATTGTACCTCCACCGGATATTTTTAGTTTAAGCGATTGGGTAAATGGTTATTTGGGTTAATTCTTCAATAATAATGTTGGGCTAGTTTAGCTCGAATACTGTCACTTCTTGCATGTACCGGGCCAGCTTCTCATTAACCTATTGATTGCTTCTTTTTTCTTTAGCTAACATATGTACATCAATACTAACTATATCTTAATAGAGAATTAACTAGGATTGAATATATAATTCTTGACCATCAAGAGTTGTAGTAGGATGTATAAGATCCCTCTGCCTTATCTCACCAAAGGTTTTAAGTTCGAGCTCTAGGAATAAAAAAAACTCTGATAGAAAGTATTTTTGCGATGCAAATTCCGATTAATCGGGGCTCCGATGCTGATACAAAACGCCAGGTGAAAACCAAGAGAAGAATTTTCTTTTTTTACTCTATCTGTGTTACTCCATTTATACTTTCTTATTCCAATATATTTTGAATTATAAGAATTTGTCATAGAGATTAGCTTTGCATTGATCATCAACTAACTACAACAACTCTTTTTCTTTTGTTCGAGTTTAGGATTGACAATGTGAGCGAGCTTATACAGGCGAAAATAGTAATATGATTAGGTTGATTAACTGGATTGCAAGATAAAGGAAGGAAATCTAGTTTTTTATTTTTGGAAAACATCAATATTTTCTTAAAACATTATCGAATTAAAAAAGATTGTTTAAATTTAATCTAATTTTCAAAATGTCAGAGTGTTAACCCCTGCTACAATTGTCAATTTCCAAGAGCATGTTACAAACTGTCACTATACTAATTTTTTATATATTGTAGAAGAAAACTTCCATCTTTTATTATGACTGAACATATGTTTCTTTTAGATTATCTGATATTATGAAATTCCTTTACACTCTATTATAATATATACTATGGATGTTAACATCACTAGTTTAATTTATTTCAGATAAGTTCCCAAATGCAATAATTAAAAGAAATAAATGGTCAAATTCATGGCTGTTAGCATCATATTGTTCAACTACCCAGTCAAATTCTTTTATGGTGAAGTAATCCTTGGTTAAATAATTCAAAGTAAACCATTATCTTTTTGTTATCATATCATTAGTACATGACAAAAATTTAATTAATATTTTTTGACAACTAGTTATTTACTTTGAGAGAAACTCGATGTGCTGTAAAATCACACAACATTATTACCTTAATTCTTGGATTTTATTAGCTTTTTGTTTCCCTTGAAGAATTTAAAGGATATAGCATATTTTGCATATTACTAATACACCCTTATTAAAGAAAATTACTTTTAATTATTTTTTAAATAACTTTGATCATATAAAAGCTCGTTACATCAATATATAGAAGTAGGGGTATATGCAGGAAATTTTGTGAGTGGTGTGGAAATTTGTAGAATGGAAATAAATAATTTTAGTGATCATATTTCTAGATAAGAAATAGCTTTAGTCCATGGATTTTGTTGAGTGTTAAGTTAGAAAATGTTATGAGTTTAATTCTACTTAATCACAATTTTTAATTATACAAACTTAGTTGAGGTTCGAACCTTTGAACTCTTAGAACAAAATTAAGTACATAACTGACGTGCTATTTGTACATCATGCCCCTTTACAGTTTATAAATTAAGAAAATGACCTTTTTGAATCTCTTATGTGTAAATGACATATCTCTTATGTGTAAAAGTAAATCTCTCATGTATAAAAAAAGAGGTAGAGTCATAAAACTATTGACCCCCAAAATTTCCGACGAAACAGTATCACATGACACCACTTCGTTCACACCTTTTAGAAGTCAAACTCTTTGTTGAAAGACCAAATGCATATACAACCCCTAAAAATTGGCATTATTTCTTCGACGTTTTAAGCCTATGTATTTGGCCTTGTTGAGATATCAATGTCTAATGGTCATAAATAACGTATTAACCAACATAATTTTAATAATAATAACTTACAATTTGTTCCAACATCCAATGTTTGTGTCCTAGGTTGTAATTTGACCAACATGGATTTAAAATAGCA